AAGGGAGAAGCTGAGGTCATTGATCTGAGATTTTTCTTCTTTTCCAATATAGGCCTGTCATACAATAAATTTCCCTCCAGGAACAATTCAGCTACATCTCACAAATTTTGATAAGTGTTTGCATTTTGATTCAAGTCAAAACATTTTTTTATTGCTTCTTTGTGCCATGGTTGTTTATAAGTATATTATTAGTTTTCCAATTATCTATACATTTCCAGAGATCTTTCCCTTATCATTTTTTCTAGTTTAATGCTGTCCAAGAACATATTTTGTGTGGCTTCAACTCCTTTAAATTTATTAGTTTTATGGCCCAAAATATGGTCTGGTCTGTGTATCTATGTGTACTTGGAAAAAATGTATTCTGTTTCTTTTGGATGGAGTATTCTAAATCAATGAGGTTAAGCTGGTTGATGATATTGTTCATATCTCCTTTTGCTGTATTGATTTTCTGTTTTCTTGTTCTGTTAGTTATTGAGAGGGATATTACATTTTTTTTCGTTATAACTGTGTTAGTCTGTCTCTCCTTGCAGTTCTGTCAGAGTTTTTTTTTGTTTGTTTTCATGTTTGTTTAAGTATTTGGAAGTTCTGTTGTTAGGTGCATAAATGTTTAGGATTATTTCATCTTCTAGGTGAATCAGTTTCTTATCATTATGAAATGATCCTCTTTTTCCTTGGTAAAGATCTTTGCTCTAAAATAATGTATTTTTACATTAACCTCTTCAGATCTCTTGACTGTTGTCAGCATAGTGTAACCCTTTCCACCCTTCTAAAGTTCCCTCCCGGCCCTTTGTGATTTCCCCTCCCTGCCCCTCACCGTCTCCCATCCTGAAGCAGTCACTGATCTGCTTTCTGTCCCTCTGACTAAGTTGCCTTTTCTAAAGTTTCATATGCGGGAACTCTGTGAGATACATACTTTCCCATCTGGCCTCCCATGGAGCGTTACTTGTTTTGCAAATGGTAAGCACCCACCCTGCGGGCAGTCTTCCCCATCTCGGCCACACAGACACCCTCACAGATCCAGTCAAAATAATGTTTCACCACCAAAATCGCGTGAATCCTTCCCCCGACGCTGGCTTTCTACCCTCCCCTGTTTTTTATGGAAATTACAATTCTCAGTATTTCAGTTTTCAGGGTGAAAGTGTGCTTTGGATCTCAACATATTGGAATTTAATATTTTAGGATTATAATTTTCAGGATTTTTATACTTTAGGGATTTGAGTATTTTGGAATTTTAACATTAGGAATTACAGTGCATGGAATTGTGTCTTTTGGGGTTATAATAGCACATCTTCTAGCTAAAGGACTTCCTTCTTTTACTGTGGGTCTACTGTTGATGATTTTTTTTTTCAAAATGTTTCCTATCTGAAAAGTCTTTATTTGCCTTCATTTTAAAAATATATTTTCATTCAATAAAGAATTCTAGGCTGACAATTAAAAATAGCGTTTTAAAATTTTTACTCTATTACCTTCTGTTTGCATTGTTTCCAGTGAAGACCTGCTCTCATCTTCATCTTCACCCTTTGTATAGTGTTCCAAATATACACTCACATTACATTTTATATTCAAGTATATGGGTGATTTCCCTTACAGTGCCTTCCTTTTTGCTTATTTTCAGGAAAAAAAAAAAAAAACTTCCTCTGTGTTCACTTCACTCAAGCTCTGAATTATATGTGCCTCACATTCCCAAACTCAGAGAAACTTTTTCCTGATCCTGTGCTTTTAATCCAACTGGAATTTATTTTTTTTTTTTATTTTTTTATTTTTGGGGGGGAATTTATTTTATTGTATGTACTGTGTATAGTTTTTTTTTTTTTTTCTTTTTTGGTATCAGGAATTGAACTCAGGACCTTGCACCTGCCAGGCAGCTGCTTATGCCACTGAGCTATATCCCCAGCCTTTACTGTGTGTGGTTGATCCTTGGGATCCACCTGGGTTAGGAGCTCCTCTCCTAAAGTCTCGGTGGCAGAGTACCCCAACCGCAACCCTTCCAGAACTAGATGGGTGTAATGCCCTGGGTTTTCTGCAAACCACACTGGCAAACCACATTTTATTCTGGCCAATTAACAGCTTGGCTGCAGTTCATTCCAGCGTCAGCCCACTCACAAATACGTGAGCGCTTAGAAAACACTCCAGCATGATTCACCTGCAGTCACCAAAAGCTGACCTCACTATAGGACTGGATTCTGTAAATAAGAAAAGCAACATGCCAGCCAAAAGCAGCTCTGTCTGCTGTAGTCGGTGGTGACACCTCAAGGGGTTGTACCTCTCATCTGGAAGATTACACAATGGCTCCAAGTCAGTGGCACGTGTCCCTCGCTTGGACAGCAGCCTGCCAAGCCATGTTTCACAGCTCTGGCAGAAGCCAAGAGAGCAAGTCCTGCCATGCAGGCACATTTGAAACCTCTGCTCTGACACCTCTGCTAACATCCCATTGTCCAAAGCAGGTCATATGGTCAGAGTCAACTCAGTGTTGCAGAGAAGCATATTCTGTTCACAAGAGCACAAATATTCCCTGAACCGTAATCCACACTATGAGGCTTGGCTTCCAGTAGGGTCAAAATGTTTGAAGATCATTGTAATCAAAGATCGATCTCAATTCCAGCTGTGAGAAACAATTTTTAAGGAAGATAACAGAGATGTGGAGACCTTACTGATTAATATCAGTCACAAAGATGAGCAAAAATTCAGTCTCTTGTGTCCTTCCATAGATCCCTATTAACTCCACGGCACATGCGGAATAGCTAGACAACCCCTAATTTGGTAATTTCATTATGAATTCTGCACCTCAGAACTTCCCTCTGCCTAGAGTCCTGTTCTCTGTCTTCTAGCTCAAGTTCTTTTTCAAGGTCTGCTCATGTCTTTTTATGCTTTCAATTAAACAATGGACATGGTTAAAGGATAATCGTTTTGAAAGCTGGGTTTTGATCCCAGCTCTACCTACTATGTCTCTGGACAAGTTCTAACCTTGCTACACCAAATCAGGTGTTTTTTGTAGAATGATAACCCCCACAACTCTGTAAAGATTAAAAGGAGATATTTGCACAAAATTGAGTAGGAGTTTGGAAATAATTTCTTCCCTCCATTTCACAGCTAATCATGAGCTCTCCCCCTCCACTAAGCTCCTATTCAATTCAGTTTAAGACTGAGATTTTTGTTTTGTTTTGTTTTGTGTTCTGGTACCAGGAATCGAACTCACGACCTCACGCTGGCCAGGCAGGTGCTGTGCCGCTGAGCTAAATCCCCAGCCCCAACACTGAGATATTTTAGGAACCATGAGTTCACATCCCTAAATAGGCCATGCAGGTATCATGAAAATGGTAAGGAAACTAGATCTTGTTTCATATTGGTGTCTTGCATTGCACTTTTTTGTCCTAGACCCATATGCCTGCATATTAAAACATACAGGAATATTCTCTGTAAAAAGAAACATATTCTCCCAGAGGCTATATTCAAAATGTTTAAGAGCTAGCCTTTAGCCTGGACTCCAGAGCTGGCTACGTCCTGGTTGACATGCTGGAGCAGGGTTCTACTGGATCAGGGAGGGTGGAGGAGGACAGACCAAAGTGTCTAGGGCTATGAGGCAGCACAGAGGAACTTCGGCAATGTTGATTTATGAACCAGTGTGAGAGTAAGGATGCTAGACGTTAAGGATGTCAGTGCCATCTCCCTGCAGGTGGGTAGCCTGGGTACCACATAAGGAACAGAAAGAGGATTGCTGCTAGTTACTTGTAGTTTATTCACTTTGCTTGCTTTGCTACCTTCTGCCCACCATGAACTGTTTCTCTGCAATTCCCTCCTGCCCTGCCTCCCTGCCTTGGAACCATCCAATTATGGACTAAAACTTCTACAAACTGAGCTAAATTAACCTTCCCACCTCTAACTTTGGGTATTGGGTGTTTTTGTTCCACAACAAGAAAAAGTAACTAGGACAACATTTATGTGGGATATATTGTGTAGCTAATCCCAGCTTTCTTCTCCGTAAAAAAAAAAAAAGAGAAAAATGAAAAGTTGTTGAGAGGATTAAAGATAGTATACCTAAAATAGCAGCAGGTTGGTATACAGCCAGGTTGTGCAAACAGTAGCTGGAGGTACACCTGACTGTGCTGTCCCGGCTGTACCTGTCACTGTCGTGTCTAACTTCAACAGATCTTGTTCTGTGTCTCTAGAGTCACTGTATCTTTTTTGGTTCCTGATCGCACCCTGCACTTCTAATTACACAATTAGGTATTGAATAGCCATGGATGCAAAGAAATGTACTACTATTATTAAAAGAATATTTGAAGCAAAAGATCCCACTTTTCTATGTGTACTCAGCCGCAGGTATTCTGTCTTCACCATCCAGCATCTCTGCTACTTTCACAATTACAGTGTTGCTAGAAATTCTAGACCTGTATCCAATTCTAGATCTTGATAGCCTAAGAATCTAGGTTTTATTTAACAGCAAAGCACAACTCATAGGAAAGAAAGAAAGGAAAAGGGGCATCTAAGATGAGGTATGATAAAAAAATCCATTATGGTAATTTCTGTCAAATAAAAACGTTACCGTGTGTCCTCATCCACCTCACTCATCAATGCAATTCTGGCTCTTCTACAAAGTCAAAGTGACCGTGAAAGATGAACGTTTTGAGTCAGCTCAGGATATTGAGGCAGGCACAACACCACCACAAAAGACATTCATAAAAGAGGATTCCAGAACGGCTTCAGAAGGTGGCAAGAATGATGGGAAAGGCGGGGGTGGGTTTTGAGGTGCATTAATGGCAGTCTGTAATAATTTTTTAAAATTTAAACATTCATTGTGTCACATCTCATGCAGACACCATGCTTAAAGCTTTCATGTTCCTTAATTCTTACAACCCTGGGAGGTGGGCTAACGGAAAGTAAACAATTTGCCGGACATGCGGAGACTTAGGAGTAGAGCAGAGACATAAACATAAACCCAGTGTTGCCTGGCTTTCAAGCCGCACTACTTCCATAGACACATAAACAAAATCTTTCTGTAACTTGTTTGCATTATCTCTAGGTGTCTTTGTTTGCAAACTATCCTAAATTTGATTCTTCTCAAGCAGGTTGTAGACCTCAGCAGCAATGCTTTGACCACGGCTATCAGTGACAGTCACTGCTCTCGAGTGTCCCCATTTGGAGGTTGATTTGTCTGTCAGCCCATGGCAGTGTGACAGTGGCCTGGCGGTCTTCCAGAGTTTCATCTCTAAATCCCGGAGGGAAGAATGGGATACAATTTGCAATAAATCTGTAGGTAAGTTAGTAGTTCTTCTCTTCTCTGAAATGGTTTCACTTGAACTGAAATATGCACCTTAAAAATTTAGCTTCCTTTGAAACAGTGACAGTCCCTCTAAAAGCAGGAGTGTGACCCCTGACATTAAGCGGCCTGGGGCTGTGTCAGAGAATTGCCATGGGTGCCTTACTGTTTGCTGCAGTTCTTTAATGACTTTTTTCCTGTGGTCAGTGAAACATAGCTCATACCTCAAAATCATTAGATTTAGTCAAGAACAGAAATTTCACTAGAAGGAAATTTTGCTCTGAAGCCTCAAAAGGGCACAGTTTTACCCCAATTCTTAACAACTGAGTAAAGAAAGAGCTTTTAAAATCTGAAACAAAGGGCTGGGGATGTAGCTCAGTGGTAGAGTGTTTGCCTAGCATGCACAAGGCTCTGAGATCAATCCCCAGTACCACAAAAAAAGGAAAATCTGAAACATTATCATAAAGGTTTGCTTAACTGTATGGTACTGTACATACACAAACACACATTTCAAAAGTATATTTTCCTTTGATTCGTTCCTTGACCCTCTACTTCCTTTGATTTGTTCCTTGACCCTCTGCCATATGAGAATGTTACTGAGGTTAAACATTCTGGGAAGTTGGGTCTTTATTCCCACTGTTAACTATGTTGAAAAAAAAAGATTAAAAAAATTTGAGCCCTGGACTCTGTCCTAATCAGGATTGCCATTAAAGTAGACTCCTGCCCTGCTTTCCAGGTTTAGAAGAAACCCAGGAAAGGCAGAGGAGGTCTGAACATCGTCAGCCACACTTGTTTCACGACTTTATACAACTGGCATTCTGAGTGGGGAAGGCAAAATGCCAGGAAACAGAAGAGCAAGTGAATATTTTTGCTGCTTACCAGCACTGGGGATGAAGGAGGGTTGGAGTAGTCCAGGACATGTGAATAGTTAGGGCATGGAGGAAAGGTGATGCGGTGCCCCAGTCCGGCTCCTTCCTCCCCTGAGCAGCAGTCTGGCCTAGCAGCATGCCTGCCCCAGACACCAGACACTCATGTGTAAATCCACAGAGCCGTAGACGTCCGTACGAGAATAAATGATGAGGCGAGAATGAAAGGATGGGTGGACAGGCAGATGAGTGGATAAATGATATTTGTTGCCATGTAAGAGCTACTTGAAAGTATAGCTAGACAAGGACTGAGGAGGACTTTGAAATCCCTGCAGTCTGCTTCTGTTCTCTCACTATATGGTTTTTATCTCCCATTTTCAGGGAATAAGGAAGCACATCTGGAGATTCCCACAAGCAGAATTTCTAGGGAGACTCACTTCCCTTGCATTACTCTAAACCAGAAGAAAAACCTCACAGGGAGCAATCAGAGACCCCAGGGAGGAACCCACATACACTTTTCCATCCAGGAGGAGACACACACGTGCACTGACCCCATGGCAGTTCAGGGACAGCCACCACGAGGGCTCAGAGATGTCCGAGACCTGCAGGCCGCAGGCGGGAGCGAGGAGGAACCCCAGGACCTCGCCTTGGCTGTCTGCCTGTCTGTGTTCATCACATTCATCGTGGCTTTCTGCTTGGGGGCTTTCACAAGGCCCTATATTGACAAACTGTGGCTGAGATGCCGGAACACAAGGAACAAAAGCCGTGGCTCAGATGATGCCCACACAAACGAGGGCTTCTACGATGGAGTTGAAGCTACAGGGAGCATGCAGCGCCCAGGGGCGGGTCTGCACCAAGCTTTTCATCGTCCAGGCCTCTATGAGAACGAGGATCCTTTCTTGGCACCAGAGCCAGTCCCATATGCCACTGTCATTCTTGATAGACATTCAGGAAGCAGCAGAAAGGAGCCCGGCAGTCAGAACTCGGAACAACTCAGGGACAACCAGAGGGCAGGAAGTAGATATGATAGGGTGCTTTTAAATGGCAGTGTAGCTCATTCTGCTCCCCACAAACAATCAGATGCTGGTAATAGTCAACTAAGTTCAGCAGCACAGGGCCACATATATAGGAATGACATTCTCAATGAATTAGATTATGAAACTGTGGCCCCAGAATACTCTCCCAGTGAGTGTTCAGTGAGCATCTCTTCTGCAGATGGCACATTACCAACTCTGTCTACTTTCTCCGGCTTCACCTGTAATGATATGAATGAAATAGATCCATCGTTGTCAAGAGAAATGCCCACACACACAAAAGAACTGAGGGCTGGAGAGAGTAAGGAAGTAGGGGGCCCTAACCAGTCACCTTTGGAAACTCAGGGCTCGCAGATGGAATCCTCTATGGGAACACCAGTGAGCCATTCCAACAGCTTCCTGGGCACGCAGCAGCCAGGACTCTGGGAGGCTGGTGCTGAAGGAGAGCTGCCAGCTTTTGGTAAGGTGGTCACACACAGTGATACAGGACACGTGGATCCATCAGCCCTTCCACCAAGGTGGGGCAGTGGCCCCAATGTCACTGCTGAGTGGCCAGCACAGAAAGATGCCCCTCCTCACCCTCAGTACAGTATGGAGAGTGACTACGATTCTGATGAAGGGTCTTTGTTTACCCTCAGTTCAGAGGGCTCAGACAGTGCAAGGGAAGTGACTGGAGAAGAAATACCTGGCGAAGGGGAGAGCTGTGGGGCCTCTGAGCCCCTACAGGGTGAGGACTTTGTGGTGTACAAGGACAGTGCGATGCCAGGAGAAAGTTTTGAGGACAAGAGCTCCTGCGAGAAGATTCCTGGGAAATACAACACTCAGGAAGATCATTTTGAAAATCTCATTTCTGGTCCAGACTCTGGTTTGTGTAAGAATCATCTGGAAAGTTCCTCTAACGCTAATGAATCTGAGAATCCACTAAGCTTGTCCAAATCCCTGGGTCACAGTTCAAGTGACGAGATTCCAGACATGTTAATTCATGACGTGATTTCTCAGCCTGAGCCAGTGCAATGGCTTTACTCACTTCGAGACCTACAATTTTCCAATGTGGACACTTTACCGTCAGTACCACCGCATTCTGATGAAATGTCTTCAGATCCTGGGAGGAGAGTCTGACGTGAAAGAGACTAAGACATTTGTAAATGTGAGCCTGGAGTTTAGGGAATAGACAGAGCTCAAGAAAGTCCTCCTTTTGAGATCACTGCAGGGGAAAACTTAAGACACTCACCACAGAATTCTCAAAGGGACAACCTGGATGCTAGCTGGGTGGACACTGATCCAAATGAGGGGTTTATATGTCCACTTGAGGACCATGATTCTAGAAAGGCCATAACTTAGCACGATTGTTACACTTCTATGGTGATGAGCCAGCTCTTCCGTGTGAAAAAGGTGGGGAGAATATTTTGGAGATGGTTCTAAAACCAAGCACTGACTTTACAAGAACTTCCAAATAAATTGAGTTCTTTAGGAACGCAGAACAGTTCAGTGATGGAGACTGGGGTAAATAACCAGGAGAGAATCCATTGCATTTAGAAAAAGACGATTCTAACTTCCATGCTCAAAGTAGTCTGATGGAAGCTGCTCTCTCTGTGAAGAATGGCTCCACTGTGACAAAGACAAGGACCTTCAGCTTGATAAAAGGAACCCCAGTGACACTTTTAGTACATATTGAAGCACTTACACAGAAACGCTGAACACATTTTAATGACTTCTGCACAAAGACTAGCTCAACTTTGTGGAGGGTGATCGTGAAGTTGCAAAATTGGAAGAGTTCACAGCAGTTCTACATGATTTTTTAATAAGTTATAGTAAAAAGAAGGGGAACCATTTTCGAGAACAAAATGCAAATTGAAAATAAATTTTGAGGAAAAGAAGTGATATTTTCTGTGGAAGAAAAGTCGTTACCCATGATGAGCCCATCTTTGATGTGACTCTTCAGGTCTGACAGTCCCCAGCTTCCTCAATTTTTTTTAATTTTGGTTTTGGACTTTCTTCTTTGTCCTCTTAAGGACAATATTCCTCAAGGGTTTCTCTTCAGACTTTCTTTAAAACCCTTTTGCCAACACTGAGGAATAGTGAAATAGTACTGTAAACCTGAGTAGAACTGGGGCTGGGGATTTAGCTCAGCGGCAAAAGCGCCTGCCTGGCAAGCGCAAGGTCGTGAGTTCGGTTCCCGGTACCGGAGAAAAAC